CGAGTGTGTGTATGCTCGCACGTGTTCCTGCATCCACATGTGAGCAGTGTGCCCACGTGTGTGGGGGGGAAGGATGGTGGCCAGGCCTCCTGGCTCCCAAGAAGGAAGCTGGTTAAGTTGGGGAGAGGGACCCATAGGACGACCCTTGGAGGCAGCTGAGCGTACCATGGGGGACACAGGAGTCAGACTCCCCCAGTGCAACCCACGGCTCGGCCACCCATTGGCTGAGTCACCGTGAGCCAGGTGCTTATCTGTGCTAAGCCCTGACTACCTCATCTGGAAAATGGAATGATAGCAGCTCCCATCACACAAGGTTTTGGGTGTGAGAATTCAAAGGTTCTGTGCATATGAAGCACCCAGCACAGCGCTTGGCACTTATGGGTCAGCTGCCCCCAGAGCTGTCAACAGGGACTGAAAGTGCAGCAGGGGCTTTGGGGACCCTACCTGTGGACGTAGCCCAGCTGATGCAGCGAGTGGATGGCCAGCACCATCTCGGCCAGGTAGAACTGGGCCAGCTCAGGCGGGAGACGGTCCTCAAAGCGGCTCAGCAGAGTGAGGAGGTCCCCCCCAGCGTAGTAGTCCATCACCAGGTACTAGAAGGTGGTGGGCAGGGGGCAAGAATCAGATGGCGGGGGGGCACCTGCCCCAGGGACCCATCTCCCACCTGCCTCACAGGGGTTCCACAGGGTTCTGGGAAGGCAAGGCTGTGTCTCCCAGAAGCTCTGGGGCAGCCAGCTCCCAGCCAAACCTCAGGCAGGAGGCTCTAGGCCTGAGCTGGTGGGGAGTGGAAGCCTTTTCGTCCCAGTAGGAGGGTCTCTCTCTTCCTGGATCAGTGCTTCTGGCCAAAAGCCTTCTCCTTTGTCCCTAGGTAACCCCCCTCCAGCTTTGCTGAGCATCCTCACCAGGTACTCCTCATCCTGGAAGGCGTAATGCAGAGCGGTCACCCAGCGGCTGTCCCCCTTCACCAGAACGTCCCGCTCCTCCCGGAAACAGGCCGTCTGCAACAGTTTTGGGGCACAGGGGGTAAGGGAGGAGGGTGGGATCGGAGCCCAGGAACCCCACCTTGCCAGCTCAGGGGATGGAGAAAGAGTCAGTTAAGTCTAGGAATGTGGATCAAGGTCACCTGTGTGAGCCTGAGCCTGTGCTTTATGGCTCTGGGCCTCAGTGTTATCATAAAGAAAATGGGGGGACTTCCCTGGTGGCACAGTGGCTAAGAATCCGCCTGCTTATGCAAGGCATACGGGTTCGAGCCCTGGTCCGGGAAGATCCCACATGCCGTGGAGCGACTAAGCTCATGCGTCACAACTACTGAGCCTGCGCTCTGGAGCCCACGAGCCACAGCTACTGAAGCCCACATGCCTAGAGCCCATGCTCCACAACAAGAGAAGTCACTGCAACGAGAAGCCTGCGCACTGCAACGAGGAGTAGCCCCTGTTTGCCGCAACCAGAGAAAGCCCACGCGCAGCAATAAAGACCCAACGCAGGCAAATAAAAAAAAAGGGACAAAAATGGGAACAATTCTGCTTGTTCTAAGAAAGGCTTATTGTGTGGAAGGGATAGGAAGAATACGCGCTGCTGGGGGTGGATCCCCCTCCATGTTCAGCAGCCATGCCCGGCCGCTTCCCCTGCAGGTCTCGGAGGCCTGTAGCCACCCAGAGTTCCCCCAGACGCAACACTGACCTCGGCCCTCTTCAGCATCTCCCACTTGTGCAGCATTTTCATGGCAAAAATCTGGCCACTGTCCCTCTGCCTCACCACAGCGACCTGAGGCCACAGAGAGCACTGGGGTCAGTCCAGCCTGGGTGCAAACGCCCTCCTACCCACTACCCCAAGGCCCTTTGCTCACCTCCCCGAAGGCCCCTCGGCCGATCACCTTCAAGATCTCAAAGTCATCTCTCTGCAGCTGCAGCTCTTTCACCTTTGCTATGAAGGGACTGACTGAGGGCACACAAAGTGGGGCTCAGAGAGCCTGCAGGGAGGCTCTCTCTCACCTGCAGCTCCCACAAGGCCAGGGCGGGGATGACCTCCCCAGGGATGGCCTGTGGCCAAGGGGTTGACAGGAGCTGCAGCCCATTCAGCCACGATCAGGAAGCGTGGAAGGTGGGGTCCTGGCTTGGCTGACTACCTGGCCCCCCGGAATCCATGGTTCCCTGGACCCCTGTCCCCAGATTCCAGGTGGCCTCTATCCCAGGGGCTGATGGGATTTGTAGTTCTCCCCAGCCTGGGGGCTGACCATGGCTGGCCAGGTCACCCTGGAATGATGGAGATACCATTCCCACCCCCAGCTCACAGTTCTTGGCCCTTTAGCAGGACCAGGCCAGGGCCTGTCTTGGGAAACTGGACCAGCAACATTCCTTGTCCCCAGAGAGGCTTCTCTGTCACTGAGGAGCTGTGGGTCCCTCTGTAGGCACAGAGGTACCTGGCTGGAGTGAGGCCTGGGGCGGCCCCGGAGGACAGGTAGGGCATGGTTCTACGGGGCTCTGGGCGGGCCAGCTCTGTGCTCCCCGTGTGGGGCCTCCTCAGGCCAGAGGCACAGTGAGGTCTGCCCAGGTTCTCACAAGACTCAAAAACGGGCCAAAACACCTTCCCCTGGCGCCCGACGCTGGCACCTGAGGGTGTGAGTGCTCAGGATCTCCTCCAGGCCTGACCAGCCCTACGACTCTGAGCCCTGCCTCGCTCTCTGGACCTGCATCTGGCCACGAACCTCCTCCTTAGAGTCCCTGACACTCCCAGGAGGGACATGTCCAGCCACTCCCCGGCCCTTCTAGGCCTGGAGGAGCCCCAGGCCTGTGGGAGGTGAGGGGGCGCAGCAGGGGTTGGGGGCAGCTACAGTCTGGCTCCTTGCCTCAGTTTCCCCCTGCCAGCAGGTAAACTCCCTGCCAGCTGGGCAGGTCTGTGGTTGGGACAGAGAGCTGCTCCACAGGTTTATCAGGCAGAACCCCCCCAGCATGGGTGGTGTGGAAACCTCATTACAGAAATTAATTGTCTTTTTCCTGGGTCCATGTGGGCAGCTGGGGAGGAGCAGCTGCAGGTCTGCAAGGGGGAACCCGAGGTGAGGGTGGCTACCCACCAGCCAGACAGGGGCCAAAGCCTGGGGCCTAAAGCCAGGAGGACCCAGGCCCCAGGACAGGCTGCCCAGTCCCCTTGCCATGCTGCACAGATGGGGGCTCTGGGCAGGAGCAGGGACAAGTTGAGGCAGGAGCAGAGTGAGTCACCGCTGAGTTACCTGGGGAGATGTCAACAGACAGGCCCCCACGCTGGGGTCCAGGGCAGAGGTGCCAGAGGCAGGCAGGGAGGAGCACACGTGTGTGTGGGCATCACAGGGGGTGATGACAACACAGACACACACACATAAGGTGCAGGAGTACCGGGGAGACAGGTGGGCAGCAGAGGCAGGGGCCCTCTGACTGCCCTCACGCTAGAGGAAAGGGCTGGCACTGGGCCCAACTCACTGGCATGTCTCACAGGCCCCTAACCGTGCCAGGTTGGGCCTCGTGCTGGCCCAGGTCTCAGGAGTGCCAGGAATGCTAGTCGCCCACTGGGCAAACACTCGCCTCACCCCGCCCTCCAAGCCAGGCCCCCCTGTCCTTCCCCCATGGCCTGGACAGGCGTGACCAGGGAGCCCTTGAGGTGGCACCAGTGCCCACACTGGATTCAGGGTCATCCCAGGCCAGCCACTCCCAGTGACTCAGATGAGTCAATGCCAGGAAGGGGTGCAGACCCACCTCCATCCAGCCCCCTGCCCCAGCCCTGGGGAGCAGCCCTCAGGAGGCCTGGGCAGCCGCTTGCGCACAGAGGGTCTGAGGTTGGTTCCTGTGTCGTCTTGGGTGGTCTGGTGTGCAGGGAAATGGCAGTGTGGGGTGCGGTGGGCAGGGGATGCCTGCAAGTGTGCACTACCTATGGATCTGTGAGCGGAAGGAGACAAGTGCGTATCAGATCCAGTGTGGGTGCGGGGGTCGGCAGGGTTCCTTGGGTCTCTCCAGGAGCTGCACGTGTCTCAGTGTGTCTGTGGAATGTGGGAGCCAGAGAAAGCATGTTTATCAGTGGGTCACATGCACAGGGGTCTCCGTGTGAGAGGCTGTGTTCTCACAGGTCATGAGATGACTCCGTGTGGAGCGTGTACTGTGTACATGTGTCTGGGGTCTACCCCTGGGGCCAAGTTTCTGTGTGTGTGAGTGAGATGTGTGTGGTGCACTCGTGCCAGGTTCTGGGAGTGGGAACAAGTGTGTGTGTGAATCTGAATAAGGGTAAAGTGTGTAGGTGACTGAGAGGGCCGGGGTCTGGTGGCATGTATCAGGGCCAGTGCGGGTCGTCTGGGAAGGGGAGAAACCTGTGGGAGTGCGGCTCCCCGCGGGAGGGTCTGTGGGCGTGGAGCACGGAGGGAGAGGCTCCTGGCGCGGTGTCCCTCGGGCAACCCCCCCACGGTCCCTCCCGGGCCACTCACCCCAGCTCAGGAACTGCGCCACGTTGCGCTCCCGCCGCAGGGGGGCGCTGCTGAGCTCTTGGTGCAGCCCCAGAAGCAGATCCAGGAGGCCGTCGAGCCCCGGGCCGCCGCCGGCCTCGCCCCGCGCCAGCCGCTCCAACGCGCGCAACCGCCGCTCCATGGCTGCGGCCGGAGTCTAGAGTCGAGCCGCCCGCATGCCTGCCCGTCGGTCCGTCCGTCTGTCGGTCCGCGCGTCCTCCCCCCACCCTCCCGCCCTCCCCGCTGTCACCTTTCTCCGGAGCCGCCTGCCCGCCCTCACCTGGGCGCCGCGCCCCACCCTCCGCCCCGCCCCCCGACGGACGGGCAGGTGTGCGCCGGCCAATGGGAGACGCGACTGGAGGTGAAGGTGGGAGGGCGGAGGCGCGCGGGGGCGGGCCCAACTCCCGGCCAGGAAGTGGGGGGGCGGGCCCCGAAGAGTAACTCCTGGGCGGGGCGGAGCAAGGAAGGCGGGGAGGGTTAGGGGTAGGGGGGATGGGGGTGTGGGGGGGTGGGGATGGGGAGAGGGGGCGGGGTGGGGGAGTGGGAGGAGAGGAGGAAGGGGTGTCCCATCGCGGCCCGGACGGCCGCACTTATCTTCTCGCAGCCCCAGGCCCAGGCCCACCATGGCCCTCGCCGGCCCCTATCCTAGGTGGGGGATGCCCAGGACACTGCAGCTTCCCTCGCCCCCTGGAACAGGGGCAGCCTCTCCCTCAGCGCGGGGAGAGGGGCTGGGGACTCCCGCGGCCCCGGAGCCGGATGGGAGTTGTAGTCCGCTCCCTCCCTGGGATGCCGGCCTCTCGGCACCCCCTCCAAAAAACTGGCTAGTTTCTGATTTAATGTTGTTTGCATCGTTACAGCCGACCTGGGAGACCGGTAGGTGAGGCAGGGATGGTTACACCCATTTGGCAGATGGACACACTGAGGCTTGGGAAGGACGAAGGTGAATTGAGGGCTGAGGGTGAGGAAGCCTCGCAGCTAGACCCTGGAGTGGGGCGGGGCTGGTAATGTCACCACAGGCTTTTTAAGCCTGGGAGGCCCGCCTGGAACGTGAGGGCCAAGGAGAGGTCGAGGCTGGGTTGGAGGAGGTGGGAAAGGGGAGGGACTGACTCTGTCCAGTGATATTTCTGACTTCTGTCCAGCTGTCTTCCGCTGGGCTGGACCAGACGCCATGGGGCTGTGGGGCTGTCCAAGAGGAGGGACCAAAGGGTGGGGCATTTTAGTGGCTTCAGACAACAAATTCTTCCATTAAAAAATCTCTTTGGAGATTCGCCTCCCCCCTCAGATGGGGACCTTCTTGAGTCCGTACAGGGTTAATTTGCCAGTGTTGAGGGGGGAGGCGCTCTATGAAGTTCTGAGGAGCTGAACTGAGCGTCCCTAGCAGCACACGGGGGGCTTCCCCCAGGGTCTCCCATTTGATCTCCTCAGAGACTTGCGCTGTGGCAGCGCCCAAGGTCTGTGCAATGGGCTGTCTCACCCAAGTCAGTCAGGTGGGGGAGGGGAGTCAGGATTGAAACCCAGATCTGAGGATGCTGTCATTGCCTCTGTGTCTCCTGGCAGGGGGTGAGGGACAAGGGTCTGGATGGTGTGTTGAGCCCTCCCTGCTCTCACCTGAAGCGTTCTAGGCCCTCCTTAAGGGGGCGGGGCAGGGAAAGGGCCCACAGGAAGGGTTCCCACCCTCTGAAGCCACAGGAGGGCGCCAGAGACCAGAGGAGGGCCAGGTGCTCAGGACAGGACCAACTAGTTCCATTTCCTGGGGAGCAAAAGGTAGGGAGAGGGTCCAGGGTGGAAGATGGGCCATTCCTCCTCCGCCCCTCTTGGACACCCTGATCCCCCGCCTCCACCCTACCATGCCCCCCAGGATCAGCAGTCAAGGGCCACCTGGTGAGGCCTCTGGGTCCCAGCTCACTCCCTGTGTGACCTTTAGCCGCTCTGAATGCCAAGTTGTCAAACAAGTCCATCATCCCCTGGCCTTTCAGACTCTGCCCCCACATAGTACAGCAGAGGGAAAACGGAGCCCCAGACAGCAAGAACTGTGTCCTGCTGGGGTCTTCATGGGGCGGAGCTGCGACTGGCCCTCGGCACTCCACGCCCATCTGGTACATGATTCTATTTGGTCCTGTATTCGTTTTTTGTCACATCCTTGTTCCAAGCCTCAGTTTCCTTGTCTATAAAAGGGGGTCGGGTCAGACTCCCTACCCATTGCTTTGCAGTTGTAAGGCCAGAATGCCCCTCAAGACTCATTCTGTTCCAGCCTCGACAAGCAGCCAGTCCTCCCCTGCTGTCAGAAACAGCTCCGGCACTTGGGCCTGCTTTGCTAAGCAGATCTGTTCTCTGATCCTGTGTGTGGGGCCCTGGACCAGTGGGTGGGTGGGTGCTCCAGGGATGAGTGAGTCTGAGCAAGAGACCTCCACCATCCCCTTCTTCCCACCGCGTCCTTATTCACACTCCTCTGGTCACTGGTCACTGCTTCCTGGAGGGCCACCTCCTCCATAACCTCTCTCCCCTCTGAGCCCCTTTGGCATTGAGGTGCTGGCATTAGCTCTCACCCAGCCCTGAGGGCAGCAGACTTGCATTCCTATGTGCTTCTTAGCATTTCAAAGTGAATGCAGATCTGTTATCTTCACAAGGGCCCTGCCAGAAGGAGGAAGTTATTTCCCTCCCTTATTAACAGATTAATACCTTCAGGATGGGGAGGTGGGAGGTGGGAGGTGGGTGGTGGGTAGTGCCAGCCTCAAGCTCCTTACCCAGGTTCCAGGCCTAGGCCAGTGCCTGGCAGCAGAAGGGCAGCGTGTGGCATCCAGACTCTGGGGACGGGACAGGGGAAGGCCAGACTGCGGTGGACTCGATTTATGTAGGCTTCCGAGGAAAGTCTTAGACGGTGAGAAAAGGGAACTGCCAGTTTAATGACCCAGGCCTGGCAGAAGGGAAGGACGGTTCAGATGAGGGGGGGACCCCAAAGAGGAGGCAGGTGAGAGCCCAGGGGAAAGCAGGGAAGCCAGGTTTTCTGACCCCCATAGCATAGGCCTCTGGGTCTGGGAGGGGCCCAGACACAAGGCAGGCTCCAGGGTCTGTCACATCTGTACCCACATCTTAGGCCTCCAGACCCTGGTCTGTGGCTCCCCTTTCCCCAAGGTCAAGGTTCAGCGCAGATGGCTGAGGGTGAGCCCCTCCCAGCCCTGCCCCCCGAACCTGCTCTCAGCATATAGTCCCGCAGGGCTGACTAGAATGGCAGGCTGCCCCTGCCCTTGGCCACGACGGAAGTGCAGCGCCCCACTCCTGGCCCAGGAGCCAGAGAACAAGGAGAAGCGGCTGTGGGATCCTACAGCCCTGCCTACTGTTGAGTGACTTCTGCCTCTCTGGGTCTCTGTCTGTGTACGCAATAGAGAACTGCCCCAGCTCAGGAGTGGGCGGCAAGTGGTACAGGGAGCGGCCTGCATAGTGGCTGGAGCTTGTCTCTCTAGGAGGAACACGTGGTTGGAGGGTCGGGAGCTCATGTAGGGTTGCACTGCTGCTCAGGCCTCCAGGTTTGGCTGAAACGTGTGTATTCCCTGGCGGTCCAGTGGTTAGGACTCCGCACTTTCACTGCCGAGGGCACGGGTTTAATCCCTGGTCAGGGAACGAAGATCCCGCAAGCCGCGAAGAGAAGCAAAAAAAAGTGTGTCTGCTGGGGTGGCTTGCGGGGAGGGGCTGATGCAGATGGTGGGGTTGAGGGTCCCCACTCCCCACGCTAGTCCTTGGCAGCCACCCACGCCCACTCCCTGCCCACCCCAGCACACCAAGGTTGTGTCCTTTGAAAGGTCCACACTCCAGATGGGTGGACATATGGTGATTTCATCATCCTGGCTTTTCTTCCAAAAACCTCCTCTGTGCTGCTCTAACACGCCACAGGGGCTCCCAGGCTCCAGGGCCACAGCGGCTGCAGCCCCATGTGGCTTTATAATTATCAATCCCTCTGGGAGCACAGGAAGCCAGGCCCAAGCCCCCTCGGCCCCCACCCCTCTGGCCCTTGGGCGCCGCCAAGTCTGCGAGTTGCTTTAGGGAAGGGTGGGTCCTGCCTGCTCTGTTCTGGGAGTTGCGTGGGGAGCTGGACTCCCTGCACCGACCCTCACCCGCACCCTGATCGGCCTCCCCGAGGTGCTCAGGAAAGGTGGCCGCTCAAGTCTGGCATCCATGGGCCCTGCCTCTGGGAAGCAGGGGTCACTGTCTGCATCGGACATCTGAGGGGAGAGGAGAGGACGGCTGAGCCCCAGCAAGTGGCAGAGCTGGGATTCGAACTCCTGCCTGTCTGCCATGAGGTGCTGCTTTGAATGCTGAGGGGCAGGACTGATGGGTGGGCTTCCTAACCTTGCCACAGCCTGGTGGCCTTGAGCAAGTCCTCTGACCAGCCCACGTGAGATAATAAGAGGGCACTGGGTGGGAGTCACGATTAACCCTTGGTTTATCAAAGAGCAGAAGAAATGTTTATTGCTCTCACCCGGAACCTCCAGGTGTAAAACAGAGCTGCCGTGCGGCGCCCGGAGGCAGTGGGTGGGCCCCCGTGTCCCCTGGGCCCTGGGCCCTGAGGTCCCTGGGGCTCGCAGACTTTGTGGCGCCCAAGGGCCAGCGGGGTGGGCAGACTGCCCCAAAGGTCTCTGATGCCAGGAGCGCTGGCAGCCAGGTGGAGCCCTGTCCTGACCCCAGACCAGCCTCTGAAGAGGGGGCCTTTCACCCAGGGCCCCGGCCAGCTAGGGAGCTGGGGAGGAGGCAAGGGGTGTGGGCTGGTCCCCGGGAGAGTGGTCACACCTTAGTGCACCCCACTGGCCCTCCTGAGCCCCCTTATGGCCGGGAGAGGACTCCCCCACAGCCTGTAAAACCCCAACCAGGCCCCAAGCTCCGGGGCTGCACGGGGGGCAGATGCCTGCCCTCGGCCCCTCTTCCAGCCTCAGACCAGCAGTCACTTTCTGGGGCAGCCTTAGGGGGTTCACCGCCCCCTGCCACCTCATGCTGGGACATGCAGGGGTGGGGGGACCAGAAGCACAGTCCTGTGTTCTCTTTGTGTTCTAACAGCTTCAACAAGCATCTCCCTGTCTCGGGTGACCCTGGAAATTGAGGGGCTGCCCCAAGCTTTCAGGGGCCCGGGCTGGAGTGACGGCATTTAAGCTTCAAGGTGCGTTTCTCAAACCTGAGTCTACGGCTGCAGACTTTGGGGGATGAAGTGAGCCATCAGCTTTGTTTCTCCTTTGAAAGGGTATTTCCCATCAGAAGCACAGCGGAGCGCCCCATCTGGGGTTGAGCTGACCCAGGTTTGAATCTCCTCCCGTGACACTCGCTCTTCAAGCTCACCTGAGTTCTTGGCTGTGACATGGAGAGAACGCTGACCTCCTGGGTCACGAGGATCAGGGTGAACCACGTGAGTGGTGCCGGGAGGGTGGGGAGCCTCTGCGGCCGTCAGACTGGACGCCCGCCACCTGGGCTAGAGCACTCCGCCTGGCCCTCAAAACCCGCAGGCAGCTGTTCACGCCCTGCCTTTTGCCACAAGTGTGCCTGGAGCAGTCTCCCCCCGACTGCACCTCAAATCTGCACCCTTCCACGGCATCGGCTCCCAATTTGTCACCCTCCCCTCTGTGGGTACGAACAGTCCATCTGCCACATCGTCTGGCCCCACTCTTTGTAGTTTTGTTGCTGGTGTCACCTGCTTGGTCCGCCTTCAAAGTACTGGCTTCTCTAAACGACCCTGGGGCCGGCACGGAGCCCACGATATACCCTATCTGCCTGACCCCTCCCAGTGCCCTGAGCCCCATGGGCGCCCACCTGTCCGTCCACAGCTAGGGCGGAGCCCAGGTTGAAGGAGAGGCTGTGAAGATCACAGGGTGGGGGGCGCCTGCTCCCCCAACCCCTGGGGGGCACAGCCTAGTCCTTAGTCATCAGAGGCTCTCCCAACTTCTTCACCCCATCCTTCCCTCAAACTATTCCTGCTCAGCCCCCATCTAGCATAAGGAAAGGGGGTCGTCAGCCCCATTTGCAGGCCTCACCCGCCAGGCTTCCCAATCTGTCTCCACTGGAATCTCGGCCCCCGGAGTGCTCTGCCAGTGCCCCTGCAGGCACTGCGGGGAGCAGGCGCCGGGAAGAGACATCTCAGCACCAGAGGCCAGCTTCAGCACAGTTAAACTTTTTTTAATGCAAGAAAAAAAAGTCCGGTCTTCAGTTTGCTTTTCCTTCTCACAGGCAAGTGTGGTTAAGCCACTGCACCGTAAACAGTGAATTCCAATCGAGGACACGGTGTGGGATGGTGGGCCGAGGCTGCAGGTTAACATGGCCAGTTCCTGGAGACTCGGGCCCAGCAGAGGCCTAGCGAGCAGCACTAGGAGGGTGGGCCGGGGTCAGAGGTCAGAGTGGAGGAGTCCCTGAGACCCCCGAAGACGTGCCTGCTGGGAAGCCTGCTCCCCACCCCCCTCCCCGCCACAGTGGCTCTGTGATGATGGCTCCAGACCCTGGCGGCTGACCACTGGCCGACAGGTATGTCCAGGCCCCCAACAGCCCAGTGGAGGCAAAGCAGAGTGGCCGCTGGCTGGCTCGGGTTTCGAGCTGCTCAGCCTGGGGGCCACTATACTGAGGACATCCACGTGGAGCACCGCCCTCCTTTGCTCAATGGGAGGAAGTCAGGTGGGAGAGGGAAGGGGCTGGGCTGTCCCTGGTCCCTCTATCTGGGCACCAGGCCCGGGCTGGAGCACCAAGCCACACCAGGTTCGTGAGGACCCACCGCCCACCAAGGGTGGGACAGAGAGGTGTACCAGAATGTCCTAGGAAAGTGAGAGGGTGAAGCAGGAAACACCGCCTCTGGGGTCTCTGGCAGGGTGTGCTCTGCACGCACCCATCTAATGGCTCCTGAGTGGAGCTGTCCCCTGGCTGGAGCATGGGGAAGGAGACAAAAATCACAGCTTCTGAACAAGTGGTTGGGAACTTACTGGAAAATTCAGTCAAGTATGAAAGGTGTCACTTTAGAGAACAAAAACTGGCTTATGTATTTCTCTGGAAGATGTTCTCTCACATCCACCCGTCCCCCGGACTCCCCGCAAACAGGCAGCTGGGCCTGGCTCGTGTGACTGTAGAGCCAGGGGACACGAGAGCGAAGGCAGGGCCTGTGGACGGGGGGCCGCTGCGAACGGAAGGAGGAAGGCACAAGAAGAACCAACTGAATCTGAGAGCAGAGGCGGGGGCAGGGCCGGGTGGAGAAGGAAGCCACTGGCCGAGCGACTCAACCTGAAACAGCCGGGACCCGCGTCCCTGTCTACACGCGGACCGCAGCTGCAGGAAGGGCGAGCCAGGCGACTTCCCTGGCAGGAGGTACAGAGGCTGTGCGTGTGTGGGGCTGCTGGCTGGAGGAGGAGGCAAGAAACAACGCTGCCTCTAACGTTATATATTAAAAATATCCATGGTTCTTATGCACAAAATTCCACCGATGACCTACGAGTATCACCCCTGCCTCCCCAGGAGCAGCCTTAAGATAAAGGTGGTGGTTTTCCTTTGCGAGCTGAGGAAACATCGCCGTCTTTATGGTCTTGGGAACTGCTGACCACGCCCCTCCCCTGCAGCCTCTGCCTGGCCGGCCGCTGGGAGTAGGGGTCGCTCACTCGTGCCTCCGCTTGGAGGGCGGGATCAGGTGTGGAGGCAGGTCGGCGGGCAGCTCGTGGCCCTCTAGCTTGACTTTGATGAGGTGGTTGGCCAGGGCGAACTCCTCGTCGTCCAGCAGCCCATCCCGATCCACGTCGGCCAGCTTCCAGATCTTCCCCAGCACCGTGTTGGGCAGCTTGGACTTCACCATCTCCTTCTTGGCGTTGGCGCCTGTGATCTTGCCATTGACGGGCGACAGTGTGTAGAAGATCTCGTCGTAGGTGGGCTTGTCCTTGCCCACCACCCACTCGACGTCGTCGATGCCCTCGCCAGCCCCCTCGCCGTAGCCGTGCCCGAAGGGCCCGTTCATGGTGCCGTCGAAAGCACCACCCTTCACGACCTGGGCAGGCATCAGGGACTCCTCCTGGCGCACAATGACCATCAGCCGGGCTATGTCATTGGCCAGCATGTCGTCCACCGTGTCCAGCAGCTTGGGCTTCAGGGCCTGGAACTTGCTGAAGTCCTGGGTCTGCAGGAGCTCCTGTGGTGGGAGCGGAGGAAGGACAGGGTTGGGTCGGCCCCTCCCGGGCTCTGGCACGGAGGGTGCGGCAAGGGTTCCTGAGCAGAAAGATCTGGCTCCGCGTCACGGCCCCAACCACTTAACATCTTGGCTCCCCCTTCTCTAAGTCGGAGGTAAAAATAGTCCCCTCCGTGCAGGACTGTGGTGAGGATTAACTGGGAGGAGGCTGGGGTGCCTGGCACAGCCCCGCCCTCCCCCTCCCCCTCCGGGTGAGTCACCACATTCCCCTGTGAGGTGTCACGGACTGGGTCAACTTCTCCGATCGGGGTGGGGCGCTGGTGATTAATCGGGCCGCTTCCACGTTGGGAGGCCCTGCCCCATGGAGCCGGGGTTCCCTCCAGAACCACCGCCCCAGTGCCCCAGCCGTACCCACTCCCATCCAAAGGGCAGCCGTACCTGCATCTTGCGGAGGCTGGGGAAGTCGCCGGGGGAGATCTGATGCTCCCGCTCAACCTTCTGGTAGATCTCACCCAGGTTGTTCACCAGCTCTTTCTTTTTGCTCTCTTTACCGAAGACATTGGGCATCTCCTTCTTGAGGGAGCTGATGATGTAGGCGTGGACCTGTGAAGACAGAGAAGGGGTGGGTGTCAGGTGCTTCCTGGACACCTTGTTGGGAGCGTGGCCTGCACCTGTGCTGCCCCTGCAAAGCTGGACTGTCGCCCGGGACAGCTAAGCACAGCCGCAGCCCGAAGCCTGTGTTCTTGCCATTTCTCGGCACGCACACCCCTCCCCGGTGACTCCTCTGCACATCAGAGACACCGAGCGCATTCCTACCAAGCCGAGCAGAGCCGTGCCATCCTGCTTACACAAGTCTGTGGATGCTGGTGCCATGAACTCCAACACAGCCTGAGTTATGCCCCACTTTATCATCCTGACAGCCTCGGGGATGACTAAGGGTTAGGAAAATCCCACAAGGCTTTCCCCAGATGTTTCAGGCTTCACGCAGTACCTTGGGTGGACATCTGCTTCGGGGATGACTAAGGGTTAGGAAAATCCCACAAGGCTTTCCCCAGATGTTTCAGGCTTCACGCAGTACCTTGGGTCGACATCTGCCAATGAAGGGTGGCGCATCCTTCCCTCCCCCACAGCGGGCCAGTAACTCTGGCAACCTTGCAAAGGCACAGCCCTCAAACCCCTCTGCCTTGCCAAGCAACATCCTGCCGAGGAGGGCTGCAGCCAGCCAGCCTCACACCCCCTTCTCCCAGACTGCCAGTTCCACCCCCAAAAAAACCTCTCCACTGGCCTGACCTTGTCTGCCGGGGGCTGCGACCTGGCTGAGAACTGCCCCAGGGAAGCAGGTTGGTCACAGAGTCACAGTCACAGCTCTGCCCATCACAGGCCAGCAGAGAGAGCGACTCAGTCCAGGAAAAGGAAACAGTCTCAAAACAGCAGGTGCAGGACAAGATTGGAGAGGCTGGGGCTTTCCAGGCAGGGTGACTCAATGTGCCCAAGGGCCACGCGATTACACACCATCTCTGTAAATGAGCAGGCAGGGCCTGAAATCTGCCCTTTGTTCCGTCCTGGAGGGAGGCTGAGCGATGAGAGCACTGGAAGCCCTGCCGGGAGAGGGGCTGGAGGGGAAGGAGGGGAGCTGTGCTGCCCTGAGGCTGAGCAGAGGCTGGACTGGAAAACAGGAGGCCAGTCTCTCCTCCGCTCACCGCCTCTTCCCCTTCAGCTCAGGACATCGCTTGGCCCTTCGAGGCCAGGAGCCAGGTATGTGGATTTTCTCATGGGCTTCTTTCTCAGAACCAGTTCCACTCATCAGGAAGCTTCCAGAAGTGAGATATCTACAGAAACGTGCAGCCCTGTACCCTCCAGAGCAGGGTGCGGGCATCTTTACTTTGCATACAGGTCACCAGGGGACTGCGTCCAAATGCAGATTATGGTTCAGTAGGGCAGAGGTGGGGCCTCAGAACCTATGCTTCTAGTGAGTTCCAATCTGCTGGTCCTGGAGCACTTTGGGTAACCACGGAGGAGACACAGCCGGGGGTAAAGGATGCAGGGTCGCTTCTCGTTATTCAGGCCAGGGAGCACCCAAAGCTACCTGACTCCAGCCCTCAAGACAGTGTAGGGTGCCCTGGGCCACTGTGTTTGGCCCATGGCAGAGTGCCAGAGCCTCTGGGCTACACAGAAGGGAGCCTCACCATGCGGTACTATTCAAAATCGTGTCCTAAGGGGACGTGCTCTGCTCCTCAGTGTTTGAAGGGCCCACTGGTGGCATTACCCTTCCTTCCCCAGCCCCAGCCACCCCGGGGTCCCGCTGAAGTGCTCGGCCAGGCACTGAGACTCCAAACTCCTGAGCAACTCAGATGCTGTCCACAGGTGCCAGCAGGCCCTGTGCTTCCATGGAAGAGTAGGGATGGTTTGCAAGGCCTCTGGGCCAGAGGCCATCAGCGCTCTCCCTGGGCCCGCAGGTTTGCGCCCCATCTCTCCACTAACTACCTCCTGTCTCGGCCTAAGCATCATCTCCCGCCCGAGACCCTCCAGGCTAGCCCGCCCTCCCAGGACAGCTCATCCCAGGCCGACCCCAAGACAATACCAATAAATCGTACTTTCTTTTTCTCTATGTGCTTTCCCCTGTACGGCTGACAAGTGCTAGGAGGGTGGGGACCTGTCAGTCCCCACTGCGTCCCCAGCACCCAGCACATGCTGCGTGCACTCTAGTGCTCAGCAGACCTGGGGGGAAACTGATGAGCCCTCGAGCAGCAGCCCCACCCACTCTCCACCCCTCAGGCTGCCCCCGGCACAGTGGTACCTTCTTATCTGACGCTTATATGTGCTAAAAAGAATCTCAGGAAAAGGCTGCTCCCACGGGGGCACAAGAGGACGGGTTCAGACAAGGCGTGGCACAGTGCAGCCATGGGTCTGCAGGGCTGGGTCTTGGGCTTCCAATCCCGGGGCCCCGAGTGGCCATCCCAGAGCCCCCTGGGGCTGCGTTCCCAGCCTGGGTTTACCTTGGCCAGCCGCGCCCGCTTGATCAGGTCATTGAGCTTCCTGAGGGCGGCGTTGCGGGGCAGAGACTGGATGTCTTTGAAGAGGTCCTGCTCCTCGGCCTCGAAGAGCTTGCGGTTGTCGGGGATGAGGAGCGGGTGGGACCAGAAGGAGCCGATGTACACCCGGACCACCTCGGGGGTGTTGATGATCTTCCCCAGGGACCACATGAGGGCCCCGTAGACCCGCATCAGCTGCTGGGTCTCGATCTGGTCGGCCTTGTTCAGCACCACGCGGATCTTGTCCTCATGGTTCTTGAGTGCCTTGATGACTTCCGAGAACTCATCGGAGATGTCCAGCTTGTGGGCATCAAAGAGCAGGATGATGCGGTCCACCCGCTCAGCGAACCACTCGAGAACGGCCGCAAAGTCGTAACCTGCGGGAAGAGAAGGGCGAGTTGGGGGCGCCAGGGGCCAGGCGGTCCGATGGCTCTCGTGCCTGACTTGGCCTGGTACTTCTCAGCCTGGGGTCATTTCAATTTCCAGAATGTACTTATGTGGGCAGCCCAGTGCCCTGAGGGCAGGTTCATCAGGCCTCCCCTACTTCCGTACCCACCGCGGTGACACCCTCACCCACGCAGCACCTGGCACGAAGAGGCACTTAACGAATAAATAATGCAAGGGAAGTCACAAAGTCCACGCTCTAAAGTGGGTCGAACTATGGCAAGAGTGAGGAGGAGACCCCAGCAGCACAGCTCAACACCGGGCGGGAAGAACAGGTTTGGGGGCTGTTGGCTGGGTGCCCCTGCACAGCAGCGACAATTAACAGCAGTAAGACGACCTACAGCTGCCGCTTGTCCGGTGCTCTGTGCTGGGCTCCCTGTTCCGCAGGACTCTCATTCATTCCCTACAAGTTACAGCTCGGGGGCCAGACCTGGCTCGCTACCTGTTTTCATAAATAAAGCTTTACTGGAACACAGCCGGCTCATCTGTACTCTCTGGCTGCTTCTGAGCTACAAGAGCAGAGCTCAGTTGTGGCAGAGACCATGAGGCCCCCAAAGCTGAAAATTTAACACTCTGACCCTTAGAGAAAACGTTTGCTGACCCCTGCTCTACAGGCCTATTAAGTACTGCAAACCACCTCCCCTTTCTAGGTCTTAAACGCTTCTCTAAAATGAAGCGACTGGACTAAGCTCCAGTTCCCAACTCTATTCTGTGCTGTTTCCTGCCAACAATTAAGGCCGTTGGTGAACCGGCCGTCTGCAGCAGGACTGCTGACAGAACTGTCTAGTTTTAGCTCGATTCACGGCCCCCCAGCTTAAA